AAATGGTTCAAAAAAGCGCCTACGAATCGCTTATCCGGCCAACCGCTTATCCACCCGTTTTTGGCGCCAATCCTACTGGAAAACCGCTTTCAAATCGCTCAGCGACGCTAGTAAGCGCTTAAAAGCGCTTATAAGCGCTTTTAAATTCAAAAAAGCGCTTTTTTGAATTATGACATCAATTATAGTCGATTATAAGCGATTTTTTTTGAACCGTTTATAATCGTAAAAAAAGCGATTGTAAACGGTTTTAAAAAAAAAAAGCGCCGAAAAAGCGCTCAATAAGCGATTATCGGCGCCGATCATAAAATATCGTTTATGGAAACTTGCCATAAAATTGATATAATAAATGTTTTTAATATCCTATTGAGGCACATGCCACCCCATCACGGGTTTACTACTACTACTACTACTAACCCGATTCATGTAATAGATCATTGCCCGTACTACTGATCGATTATACTGTAACATGAGATTTGAATTAGTCAAAGTTTTCTTAAATATTTGATTCATTAGGCGCGCTAAATTTCCTAAATGCGCGATAATGGCCTGTATGACAAACTTCTGCATTTTCTTTGTTTCGCATATTTGCTCAGCTTTTGTTATGTCTGGCTCATTGTATTGATAGATTATATTTAGTTGACGTTTCCTCGCTGAATTTTATCCTTAATATTTTACTTTTTATCCGATACAAAATTAAATAAAGAATAAGAGGAAAACGCCATATATAAATTAACCCTGAGAAAAGGGAATTGGATGTAAGTACGGACCAAACTGCATCGCCTCCTCCCTGCGCATGCCCCTGAACCGTCAACTGGTGAATAAAGAGGCCGAGATAGGTCAAAGTTGATAAAAAGGACCAAAAGGATTTAGAAAACTGAAGATTTATTAAGAACTTGAAAACAAAACCGATTACACCTTCTTAATTAAGTATTACAAAATAAAGCCTAATGACCACGCTGCCCAATATTGTTATCTTCAGATTATAAGTAGATACCATCCTGTGTCCAGCAAGTCTACACTAGTAGTACACACTATTACATTCATTTTGTTATACAGATTGAAGAGACTTTGTTTTGAGAGTAACAAATAGCCATCTAACATGCAAAACAAATTAAATAAAACATAATAAATAACACTCGTGCACACTAGTACAGCACGTTAGTAAGAACGCTCTGTTGATAAAAATACTTCAAACTTAGTATCTTCTCTGCTATTCTTAATTTTATTTAAATCGAATCATCACTGTTATTTGATATCGTAACTAGATTAAATTACTTTTAATTAAACTTGATTACTGTTTCCTTGCTAAGTTACTAGTAACTGTCACGTTAGTATCAGTTAAGATGTATCATTGTTTCTGTGTTTCTAAGAATGAGTGGAATGTGAAACATTACCCTTCCCAGACGGATCATTGCTCGTTGTCATGGTATCACACCCTACCCTACCCTAATACGATCCTCTAGTTCCTAGTTATTCTGTATTAGTTCCTACTTTTTCTGTATTAGATTATCATATTTGTGATTATTTATTATTGAGATGCTAGATTAGTCGTACGTTTCGCTCTGCATTTTGTTCAACTGGTTACCTTGTTCACCAATGAAGTTTTCTTCGACTCTTGGTTGTTTTGGCAAAGGAAATCCACATAAGAAGGTTGGTTTATCACGTACACAATACTACATTACCTACATCACCTACATTACCTACCTTACCAGTACTCGTACCCACAAGACTTGATGTTGTAGTTTACTGCAGAGCCTAAGTTCAGTGTCCTTACTCCTTACACTACAACTTTGTTAACCACCTGTTGTATTGCTGTAGTATACGTATATTAGCCTTACACGCTGCCAGATTCTAATATCAGTCTAACAGCTTTCACGTGTCCACCTGTTATCTGTTCAATTAAAGGCCACTATAGGCCACTACAGGCCCCAACAGGCCCCTACAGGCCACTACAGGCCCCTACAGGCCCCTACAGAACCCTACAGAACCCTACAGGCCACTACAGGCCACTACAGGCCCCTACAGAACCCTACAGAACCCTACAGGCCACTACAGGCCCCTACAGAGTACAGGCCACTGTAAAGAAGTATCTTCTCAGCCCCTCTCTTAAGGTTAAAATTCAAAGCCAGGTTAAATTTTGAAAAAGTTCAAGTGAAAAGATTAACCTGAAGGAAATTTAACTTGAAAGAGGTTAATTTAACCTGTTTGGAAGTCCCAGAGAGCAATAAAATTGATCATTTTGCCCCAAATTTTCGGCCTTCCAATGATCATCCGTGGCGCCTCTTCGGCCTCAAGGAGGATATTTTACAAGGGTTTTAGGGCACCAGCCACCATATCTCAAAAAATCTCCGTCTCTGACGATTTTGCCCCTCCGCCCTTGCGGTCTCTAGGTGATTGTCATTTGGGTGGACACCTTGCCATTTTGCTCCGAACACAATATGACATGTCCGTCACAGGAAGCATACGGAGAAACCCTCAGAGAATTAATAATAACTCAATCTGATGTTGGAAAAACCTTTTTAAAATTCAGCGGTAATAATCTCTCGCAAAAAAAAGCCAGGTTAAAAAGATGTCAGCTTAATATGTTAATGTGTCACTTATTACCTATGCCCCTAGAGCCCCCCCCTACATGCCCCGCTAAAGGACCTTGAAGGCCCCTCAAGGCCACTACAGGCCCCTAAAGGCACCTACATGCCCCGCTAAAGGCCACTAGAGGCCCCTAAAGGCCCCTATATGCCCCGCTAAAGGACCCAAAGGCCCCTAAAGGACCCTACAGGCCCCTAAAGGCCCCTACAAGCCACTAAAGGCCACTACAGGCCCCCAAAGGCCCCTAAAGGCCTCTGCTCTGAGCACCATGGTCCTGTATCCTAGTTTAACAATGAAATAGCACTACTAAACAGACACTAAATGCTCAGTGCTACCTTACAATAGTTAGTTAATGATTAGAGCGCCAGGCTTACACATTACACATCATACTGCACTCAAACTATCCTTCAATCTGAATTCTGGGCACTTCAACAAGCTCTACATATGGGAATTTGTACAGTATTTTACCTAAAATCTTGCAATATTCTTTTAATCTCTTTACAATAAATCGTCCTATCTCATTAATATTAACAAAGGTAATTATAAAGGGGCACTGGTCCCCCTGCTATCTACATAATCACGCACTACCCACAGTGTACAGTGTATAACGTTATATAGTGCACACTGCCCGGCTATTTATATCATTACTCTCATGAGTTGTGAGATTCGTGTTTATCTTTCTGTCTTCTTTCTGTGTGTTTCATCAGTTACAGCTTGTTGGGAGATATCACACAACTAGTAGTGTGAAGGTAGTACTACGCTACATATCAGGATTTCAGACTGATTATTACCCTGTTTAGTGTATACCTGGAGTCTTCACTACTAGTGTGTATAAAACACTCAATTAGAGTAGTTGTCGGAGGTCGGGAGGTGGTCTCCATTGTTAACTGCACCCCACAGAGCACCCTACTTAAGGAGGAACTGCTGCACCCCACAGAGCACCCTACTTAAGGAGGAACTGCTGCACCCCACAGAGCACCCCACTTAAGGAGGAACTGCTGCACCCCACAGAGCACCCCACTTAAGGAGGAACTGCTGCACCCCACAGAGCACCCCACTTAAGGAGGAACTGCTGCACCCCACAGAGCACCCCACTTAAGGAGGAACTGCTGCACCCCACAGAGCACCCCACTTAAGGAGGAACTGCTGCACCCCACAGAGCACCCCACTTAAGGAGGAACTGCTGCACCCCACAGAGCACCCCACTTAAGGAGGAACTGCTGCACCCCACAGAGCACCCCACTTAAGGAGGAACTGCTGCACCCCACAGAGCACCCCACTTAAGGAGGAACTGCTGCACCCCACAGAGCACCCCACTTAAGGAGGAACTGCTGCACCCCACAGAGCACCCCACTTAAGGAGGAACTGCTGCACCCCACAGAGCACCCCACTTAAGGAGGAACTGCTGCACCCCACAGAGCACCCCACTTAAGGAGGAACTGCTGCACCCCACAGAGCACCCCACTTAAGGAGGAACTGCTGCACCCCACAGAGCACCCCACTTAAGGAGGAACTGCTGGAGTTGTTAAATAAATCAGATTAGTACTGTCGTGCTGAGTTAGTAACAATAGTAATACAGTGTTACACTACACTACTACACTTCTAGGAGGGCTACTTCAGTTCAACAAAATGTATAAATTGTCATGAAGTTTGGAATAAAAAAGAACAAAGAAGTGAAAAAGCAGCGAAGTAGTGAAATCACGGAACTGGTTAAAGACAATACTACTGATTCTAAAGACAATGAGAGGAAGAAAGAGAGAAAGAAGGATAAGATACAAGATCAGATCATTGTAGAGGAGGGTAGCCGTGTAGCTTCTAGCCCGCTAAGTAAAGACGATTCTCCTGTGAGCAATGTTAGGAAGAATAAAGAAAAGAAGAAACTATTTAAGGTATATTATATTAGGACGCAGTGAAACTAGTTATAACATCCTCCATAGTCCATGTGTGATTATCTTAATTGAAACAGTGTTACTCGTACTGTACCGTGTGTATAATATAGGTAATAGTACTACTACTAGTGGTAAAACAGTAGTGGAGAGGGCAACTCTACTCCAGCCCTCATATAATCTTATATAATATTTATTCTTCTGTTCTATAACAGTACACCCAGGAGTAAGTTAAACAACAGTAAGGTACCACATACTCAGTACCAGTTCGGTGCCACCTAGTCACTAGTAAAACCTGCGGAGTTTGGGGGAATTTTGTAGTACATAATGAGGGGTGTTATATTCCGTTAATTAAATTTGTTACTTAAATTCTAACTAGCCAGTCACAGTGAACAGGATAATTACAGCACTCTGAAGTCTAAATTAAATTTACTTAAATTCAGGTTCATACTCTTTGCAGTATTACTTTAGCAGGAGTTTACAATGGTTCAACAGCAACTATTTATCATTCACATTTTCGTATTTCAGTTAACGAAAGAAACGAAATCTAACCGTGTCACTAAGGGTGAGTACCACTTTTCTAACTTTCAATTGGAAACTGAAATCTAAGTTAAGCTATTCTATTCTTTAGAGAGAGAGAGAGATGTGTAGAGATGTAAGGATTAGGAATGTATTCTATGATCTATTGGTGGGGTAAACCTGGGAAATACCTGAATGTTTGGACTGGTATCCTAGCAAACTCCCCTCTAACTTATGTGATATTATAATAAAACTACTTGGTGGTCGACTCTTGTTACTACTGATTATGGTTTACTGCATTGTTACTACTGATTATGGTTTCTCAGTTAGTGTTATGTTTTGTTTAGAGATCTGTACGTTACTATTACTAGTAGTAGTTGTTTTAGATAAGTAGCTAGTTTCGATTTAAATGGAATGTTGCTTCAATTATATGAAATCTACGTATACTGCAGAAGGTAAGTTTTATTCTAATCAAATATTTATCAAATAAATTATGGGGATTATGTGAACCTGATTACTTACATAGTACTATACTATACTTACTAAACATCAGTATAGTAAGTATAGTATTAGCAATACCAACTAGCACTTGCTTACTGAGTCACTAAGAATACAACTAGCACTTGCTAACTGAGTCACTAACAATACCAACTAGCACTTGCTAACTGAGTCACTAACAATACCAACTAGCACTTGCTAACTGAGCCACTAAGAATACAACTAGCACTTGCTAACTGAGCCACTAGCAATACCAATTAGCACTTGCTAACTGAGCCACTAAGAATACAACTAGCACTTGCTAACTGAGCCACTAGCAATACCAATTAGCACTTGCTAACTGAGCCACTAGCAATACCAACTAGCACTTGCTAATTGAGCCACTAACAATACCAACTAGCACTTGCTAACTGAGTCACTAACAATACCAACTAGCACTTGCTAACTGAGCCACTAAGAATACCAACTAGCACTTGCTAACTGAGCCACTAAGAATACAACTAGCACTTGCTAATTGAGCCACTAATAATACCAACTAGCACTTGCTAACTGAGCCACTAAGAATACAACTAGCACTTGCTAACTGAGCCACTAACAATACCAACTAGCACTTGCTAACTGAGTCACTAAGAATACAACTAGCACTTGCTAACTGAGTCACTAAGAATACAACTAGCTCTTGCTAACTGAGCCACCAAGAAAACAATTAGAACTTGCTAACTGAGTCACTAAGAATACAACTAGCACTTGCTAACTGAGCCACTAAGAATACAACTAGCACTTGCTAACTGAGCCACTAACAATACCAACTAGCACTTGCTAACTGAGTCACTAAGAATACAACTAGCACTTGCTAACTGAGTCACTAAGAATACAACTAGCACTTGCTAACTGAGCCACTAAGAATACCAACTAGCACTTGCTAACTGAGCCACTAAGAATACCAACTAGCACTTGCTAACTGAGCCACTAAGAATACAACTAGCACTTGCTAATTGAGCCACTAAGAATACAACTAGCACTTGCTAACTGAGTCACTAAGAATACAACTAGCAGTAGCACTTGCTAACTGAGCCACTTAGAATACAACTAGCACTTGCTAACTGAGTCACTAAGAATACCAACTAGCACTTGCTAACTGAGTCACTAAGAATACCAACTAGCACTTGCTAACTGAGTCACTAAGAATACAACTAGCACTTGCTAACTGAGTCACTAAGAATACAACCAGCACTTGCTAACTGAGCCACTAAGAATACCAACTAGCACTTGCTAACTGAGCCACTAAGAATAAAACTAGAACTTGCTAACTGAGTCACTAAGAATACAACTAGCACTTGCTAACTGAGCCACTAAGAATACAACTAGCACTTGCTAACTGAGTCACTAAGAATACAACTAGCACTTGCTAACTGAGCCACTAAGAATACAACTAGCACTTGCTAACTGAGTCACTAAGAATACCAACTAGCACTTACTAACTGAGTCACTAAGAATACCAACTAGCACTTGCTAACTGAGTCACTAAGAATACAACTAGCACTTGCTAACTGAGTCACTAAGAATACAACTAGCACTTGCTAACTGAGCCACTAAGAATACCAACTAGCACTTGCTAACTGAGCCACTAAGAATAAAACTAGAACTTGCTAACTGAGTCACTAAGAATACAACTAGCACTTGCTAACTGAGCCACTAAGAATACAACTAGCACTTGCTAACTGAGTCACTAAGAATACAACTAGCACTTGCTAACTGAGCCACTAAGAATACAACTAGCACTTGCTAACTGAGCCACTAAGAATACAACTAGCACTTGCTAACTGAGCCACTAGCAATACAACTAGCACTTGCTAAGTGAGCCACTAACAATACAACTAGCACTTGCTAACTGAGCCACTAGCAATACCAACTACCACTTGCTAACTGAGCCACTAACACTACCAACTAGCACTTGCTAACTGAGCCACTAAGAATACAACTAGCATTTGCTAAGTGAGCCACTAAGAATACAACTAGCACTTGCTAACTGAGCCACTAAGAATACAACTAGCACTTGCTAACTGAGTCACTAAGAATACAACTAGCAGTAGCACTTGCTAACTGAGCCACTAAGAATAAAACTAGAACTTGCTAACTGAGTCACTAAGAATACAACTAGCACTTGCTAACTGAGCCACTAAGAATACAACTAGCACTTGCTAACTGAGTCACTAAGAATACAACTAGCACTTGCTAACTGAGTCACTAAGAATACAACTAGCACTTGCTAACTGAGCCACTAATAATACCAACTAGCACTTGCTAACTGAGCCACTAAGAATACAACTAGCACTTGCTAACTGAGCCACTAACAATACCAACTAGCACTTGCTAACTGAGTCACTAAGAATACAACTAGCACTTGCTAACTGAGTCACTTAGAATACAACTAGCTCTTGCTAACTGAGCCACTAAGAAAACAATTAGAACTTGCTAACTGAGTCACTAAGAATACAACTAGCACTTGCTAACTGAGCCACTAAGAATACAACTAGCACTTGCTAACTGAGCCACTAACAATACCAACTAGCACTTGCTAACTGAGTCACTAAGAATACAACTAGCACTTGCTAACTGAGTCACTAAGAATACAACTAGCACTTGCTAACTGAGCCACTAAGAATACCAACTAGCACTTGCTAACTGAGCCACTAAGAATACAACTAGCACTTGCTAATTGAGCCACTAAGAATAAAACTAGAACTTGCTAACTGAGTCACTAAGAATACAACTAGCAGTAGCACTTGCTAACTGAGCCACTAAGAATACAACTAGCACTTGCTAACTGAGTCACTAAGAATACCAACTAGCACTTACTAACTGAGTCACTAAGAATACCAACTAGCACTTGCTAACTGAGTCACTAAGAATACAACTAGCACTTGCTAACTGAGTCACTAAGAATACAACTAGCACTTGCTAACTGAGCCACTAAGAATACCAACTAGCACTTGCTAACTGAGCCACTAAGAATAAAACTAGAACTTGCTAACTGAGTCACTAAGAATACAACTAGCACTTGCTAACTGAGCCACTAAGAATACAACTAGCACTTGCTAACTGAGTCACTAAGAATACAACTAGCACTTGCTAACTGAGCCACTAAGAATACAACTAGCATTTGCTAACTGAGCCACTAAGAATACAACTAGCACTTGCTAACTGAGCCACTAGCAATACAACTAGCACTTGCTAAGTGAGTCACTAAGAATACAACTAGCACTTGCTAACTGAGCCACTAAGAATACAACTAGCACTTGCTAACTGAGTCACTAAGAATACAACTAGCACTTGCTAACTGAGCCACTAAGAATACAACTAGCATTTGCTAACTGAGCCACTAACAATACAACTAGCACTTGCTAACTGAGCCACTAGCAATACCAACTACCACTTGCTAACTGAGCCACTAACACTACCAACTAGCACTTGCTAACTGAGCCACTAAGAATACAACTAGCATTTGCTAAGTGAGCCACTAAGAATACAACTAGCACTTGCTAACTGAGCCACTAAGAATACAACTAGCACTTGCTAACTGAGTCACTAAGAATACAACTAGCAGTAGCACTTGCTAACTGAGCCACTAAGAATAAAACTAGAACTTGCTAACTGAGTCACTAAGAATACAACTAGCACTTGCTAACTGAGCCACTAAGAATACAACTAGCACTTGCTAACTGAGTCACTAAGAATACAACTAGCACTTGCTAACTGAGTCACTAAGAATACAACTAGCACTTGCTAACTGAGCCACTAATAATACCAACTAGCACTTGCTAACTGAGCCACTAAGAATACAACTAGCACTTGCTAACTGAGCCACTAACAATACCAACTAGCACTTGCTAACTGAGTCACTAAGAATACAACTAGCACTTGCTAACTGAGTCACTTAGAATACAACTAGCTCTTGCTAACTGAGCCACTAAGAAAACAATTAGAACTTGCTAACTGAGTCACTAAGAATACAACTAGCACTTGCTAACTGAGCCACTAAGAATACAACTAGCACTTGCTAACTGAGTCACTAAGAATACAACTAGCACTTGCTAACTGAGCCACTAAGAATACAACTAGCATTTGCTAACTGAGCCACTAAGAATACAACTAGCACTTGCTAACTGAGCCACTAGCAATACAACTAGCACTTGCTAAGTGAGCCACTAACAATACAACTAGCACTTGCTAACTGAGCCACTAGCAATACCAACTACCACTTGCTAACTGAGCCACTAACACTACCAACTAGCACTTGCTAACTGAGCCACTAAGAATACAACTAGCATTTGCTAAGTGAGCCACTAAGAATACAACTAGCACTTGCTAACTGAGCCACTAAGAATACAACTAGCACTTGCTAACTGAGCCACTAGCAATACAACTAGCACTTGCTAATTGAGCCACTAACAATACAACTAGCACTTGCTAACTGAGCCACTAAGAATACAACTAGCACTTGCTAACTGAGCCACTAAGAATACCAACTAGCACTTGCTAACTGAG